AGTAAGTAGGTACTCAGGAGTCAGCTTGTTGTGGAGTTGCATCCTGGGTTGGGTCAGTAATTCGACCTGTTGGTGGGTGACCTCGATATAAGCCTAAAGTGTATGAATACACTCTGGCTGTCTGTCCGCCAAACACAATGAATTAATCATTATTATATGATTTAATAGTCAAGGATGAGACATACATGCAGGATCGTTAATGCTAAAATATAATGTTTGTCCTGGTATTCAAGGGTACGTCGGGTATCATTCATGTATAGTTGAGGTTTTTATTTGTGTCATTTTCCAGAAGCTACCGTTTGCTGTGTTAATTGGTAATTAAACTATTTCACCAGGATCCATATTTCTTCCACATACAGCAAGGCATTATGGTATTCAATAGTACAGCCTGTGTGAATTATTATATTCCACATACTATTTTAGTCATGTTAAATTATGAAATGATTTGCATATCTGGCACATCTGTGTCAGGCGAGTGTGACGGGCTCACCATAGCCCGTGCTGCTTACAACTTTTTGTTCCCAGTAGCTGAATGTAAAAACAACAACAAAACAATTGCCAATCTTTTCATAATTTCAAGAAAAAACACTAATATGCAAAACGTAGCCAAACATCAAATATAAGGGGAGGGGGGGGGAAGAGGGAGTTGCTATAATGTCATCGATGTTTACGAAATTATGTAATACAAAGTTCAATTCGTGGAAGAGGAAAATATCAACGCCACAAAATATCCCTTGACTCTACGAGGTCAACGTGTGTCGTGAGCTGGAAATATATTCACACCTGATTGCATAATTCCCAGTTTCAAAGACAAGTTTGGCATTTACGTGAAATTAACGTCTAAATCATTAATACAAAGTAAGGAACGTGTGTGTATAGCAATTAAGGAGAGAGAGAGAGAGAGTGGGAGGGAGTTGAAATCAGTTAGGGATAAATTTATGTATGTGATGTATCATGAGGCTACCCGGGTAGTGTAAAATGATATTTATGTGGCGCTCAGGGAGCTGTCAGCCTAATCTCATGGGTTGGGGTGGTAATTTAAGACTAATTTATATATATATGCTCTGAGACCCTGGGCGCCTGGGGTAAATGTGCACTAAAGTTCCTGAAGGTGATGGTTGGAGAACTCATTAGGAAAACTAAAGACTCTAGAGCGGCCAGTTAACTGTTCCAGCGCCTCAGCGTGGCGATCCAGAGAGGAAATGCTTGCTGTATCTTGGGCACTGAAATGTGACTGAAAAAATTGCGAATAGAACAGTAGCTATTCTGGCGGATGGAATGCCAATCACATTAAATAAAAAAAAGTAAATAAAACTGCTATTGAGCTCTTTGCGGTGTTCTAGCTCCGGGATAAAGTACAAAGAATGAAAAACTTAAATATTTTAATATAACAAAAAATGATTTTAACAATTACAAAAATAGATCCTCTATGAAACTTGGCTTATACACAGTGCAAAAAATGTAAAAGAAATAAACATGTGAACGTTACATTAAGATCAAAATGACAGGTGGAGGAAAATACTATATACATTAGCTGTGTAAGTCTACCACCAGCCAGGGGAGCGAGAGTAGATGTACAGCTTGGAGTACTGAACTGAAGAGTATTCTGCTTTCTAGTGTTGTTTTTTGTTATAGATTCAGCAACTGGGAACAAAATGTTCCAAGTAGCACAGGCTATGGTGAGTCCGTAGTGGACTTACCTGGCACAGGAGCGGGGCAGTAATTAGTGCTTTCTAGTGGTTGTGGTTGTTGTTGTTATAGATTCAGCTACTCGAAACACGTTCCAAGTAGCACGGGCTATGGTGAGCCCGTAACTTACCTGGCACAGGAGTGGTGCCTCTTTCTAATGGCTGGTGAGCTCCTTATATACACGGGCGAGGCCGTGTAGGTGGCGTTGGTGTGCAGGTAATTGCCAGCGGCAGTTATAAACAAGCAGTAAGCTTGTTAACCAGCGAGTGGAGGTGGTTCCCAGACACCAGGTGTGTCAGGGTCACGGGTACTGGGGTGTAGAGAGTACTGGAGTCTTCTCTAGCCACGGGCTTCTCATCACGTATTGTTGTTGCTGTTCTTGATAATGTCTTACACTTGAGTATGCAGATATGTTGTTGTTGAATAGGCCCAATCTCCTTTCCTAAGGAGAGTTTCGTGACAAAATATATATTCTGAGCTTGGGTCTCTCTCTCCCCCTTCCCCACTCTCTGTTACTCTCTCTTAAGAAAATGTAATACTCAATTCATGTTCATCGTTTACGAGTGAAGAAATCTAGAGACTCGGCCAGCGTATTTTCGTTGATTAAGTATGGGTGGGGTCATTGTTGCACCCTACCTCCCTCTTTTAACCAATAAGACTTACCCTGACCAACCTATGTTCGTTGTGTACCCCAGACCAATCACCCTGCAAAGTTGAATGCGACTAACACCAGGCATCTTGTCTCCAACCTCATACAAACTCTCTCTCTCAGTCTAGATATACTTATCCGGTGCCTTTCGCATGCCAGTCTGTTGCCACGCTTTCACCATCTTAGAGGTCAACAGACACCCACTGACGCATGCTAAACATACTCCATCCATGCAGGGGTGTGCTCTGACATACGTGTGTGTGGGAACATGTCCATGCATGTTGACTTTTTCGTGCATTTTTGCGCTAGCATGTATGTGTCCCTGTCCTTGTGTGTGCATGTGCCTATGATCAGATTTTGTGTGTGGACTCAGTGGTGTTTATAAATGTTATGGTATTTACGAACACACACTGAAGGGAAGGGAACACACACACACACACACACACACACACACACACACACACACACACACACACACACACACACACACACACACACACACACACACACACACACACACACACACACACACACACACACACGCACGCTGAAGGCAAGGTCTATTAGAGTCGGATAAAGAAAAGGCACCAACGCGGAGTTCATATCTAAGGTAAACACGAAACAAAGTTGGAGACTGTCCAGAGGTATGCCACAAGACTAGTTCAAGATTTGAGAGGTATGAGTTACGAGGAAAGACTACAAACATTAAATCTCATGTTGCTGGGAGATAGAACTGAAGAAGACATGATCACCTCACATAAAATACTCAGGGGGAATTAAGATGACAGACAAGGAAAGAAAATTTGATATTTGTAATACACAAGTAAAAAGATACAGGTGGAAGCTAAGTACCGAAATAAGTTACAAAGATATTAGAAAATGTAGCGCACTATATAAATATATTGTAAAATTAAGTAGGCAGACTGCAGGTACAACTTGAAATGTATAGACACGACAGCCCAATAGGCTCGGAAAACTTCTACCACTCTATTAGAAGTTGACAGGCAAGACCCACAAGCTCAAATATGTGAATACATCTGGGTGAATGCAATTAGCTTAGTATATGCACACCCACACACACGTGTGTATACTTATTCATGTGTGTGTGTGTGTGTGTGTGTGTGTGTGTGTGTGTGTGTGTACTCACCTATTTATACTCGCCTATTTGTGCTTGCGCTTGCTATTGAGCTCTGGCTCTTTGGTCCCGCCTCTCAACCGTCATTTAACAGGTGTACAGGTTTCTGAGCCTATTGGGCTCTATCATATCTACACTTGAAACTGTGAGGGAAACTGTGTGTGTGTGTGTGCACTAGAGTGAGAGAGGAAGCTATCCGAGATGGCGTTGCAGAAGCAGCCGCCTTAGTCTCGCTGTCTAGCTTACTCAGCTGCTACAAAAACATATATGACTCACATATCCTCTTTTTGCGACCAGCAATTTTGAGGCAACGAGACTGTCCATCCACGCCCTCCCCAGCCCCTCCACACGCCCCCCACCCCTCACGCCCCACTAAATCCCGCCCACCTCTCTGTACCCCCCATACTAAAACAGCTTCTCCCCCCCCCCTCATCACCCCCTCCACCTTTTCAACACCCACCCACCCACTCTAACCGCCCATCACCACCTGCTCTACACCCTCACATAAACACAACTAAACATGCAAATTCCTTAAAAAATAGTTCACATCAAACTTTTTTATCCCCCCCCCACGAACTCAGTCAAATGTCAAACAATCCAAGTACCAGAATTTGTGAGCAATCTCCCAATAAATATATATATATATATATGACGCGCCACTGTAGACCCCATTTATATTATTTATCTGTACTGAAAATGAATTAAAGATTCTATAAATTAATCTTGGAAGCTTAATTGATGCCCAGCCAGTCTTGGGGGTGTGGGTATCCTTGGATACAACTTAATGACTCAATTATTCACTCTCAGCTTGAAATCTTTCTCCCGTCTGCTGTACTCTGTATATACAAATATATATACAAACCATAAAACTTTTTGTCAGGAGGGATTGTAATTATAGCTGCGATATATTGAATGACTTTTGCTGTTGCCTTTCAGTCAAAAATAATATTTATTTTAGGTTTAGTAATAGAATATGTATCATAAGTACTTGTTTAAATCTTCATAATCATATATATACCCCTCTTTAATTGTAACTTTAGGATGATGTATGATTTAGAATTGGTACTGTAATATGAAACATGTGTAGTTCTGAGGGTGAAACTGGGAATTAAGAATCATTCCTGATATTTTTTCCAGGATGTGGTAGAAGGGTGTGATCGTGACGTCATAGTTTGGTCGTGCAAGGGAGGAATAATGACGTCATCACTGCTTGATTTTTCTCAGAACGTGATTGTGAAAGGAGAGACATTAATAGACCATCATATTTTTAGATTTGACTGAGCTTATGACACTATTAATAAATCCACTGGATAAAACAGTGATAAAGAGCAAACGTCGGTATAAATAATAATAACAACTCATTATATATATACAATGATATAGCTAGAATTGAAAGAATAATAATATAATATTGCAGTTTTGTTTTAGATTTTAATTGTGCTTACTTATATACCACATATTTTAGCTAAATAGGTGTCTGAAAGGATGTTGCCCCCACATTCTGACCTCAAAAATAGCAAACTTGCATCCCTCTTCCCCCTCCCCAAGGAAGGTGTTGTGTTGTTCCGTGTCAGTTCCTCCATGGTCAATGTTTGTGTTGTGATAGTGGGAACATGGCGCGGGTGACAATGCTGAGCTGTGCCTGTTGTTTGAGAGCTGTGTGGACGCCAGATGAGGTGAGCCACACATCACACGCACACACACACACTCATTAACCGCACACCTCCATCAGTTAGGTGTTACAATAGCTGTTTATTGTGGGAAGGGAAAGGGGTTGGGTCGTTTAGAAGATGCTGCGGCTGGGAAAGTTGGGTGGGATGGGAGGGTAGAATTATTTTTGACGTGTCTAGGCCTGTAGGGGCTAAATCACGTCTTTAAATAGTCTTGACGGTCAATACCTTTACGTGATTGAGGTTTAATGGTTTGATTCGGTTGAGTTGCTTTTGTGTTGACAGCTTCGGCAGTGGTGGGCAGGCTATAGGCCTATAAGGAAGTATAAGATTTAGGCCTGTGTGTTTCTTAATGACACTATGGTGTAAGGGCTACTTGGCCATTGAGATGGTCTATGGCTGAGGCTGTCCTGTCAGTGGGGCCGTCTCCTCAGTGAGGCTGTCACCTCAGTGACTTGTCACAAGGAAGTATGAATGCTTCAAATTGGTTGTCATCGTTGGTTTATAGACTATAGGAACCCATTCATTCTCTTTTTGAGGTATAAGAAGCTTTGTAGGATGTATAAATGTTTTGGCAAATTTGTAGAAACTTCAGTCAATCTTAGTCTTCTCTCTGAGGCAAGTGCTAGATTATCCCAAGCACAAGGAATGGCTTGAAAGACTAGTGAGAAAGACGATCTTGATGACGCCAGGATGATATAAACCTGAGGTTTATATCATTGCCACCTTGCTGCATGGCAGGAACACAAGCCTGGTAGTAGAGGAAAATAGTAGTCTTTAAATAATAAGTCTTTAAATAAGTAGTCCCACCGGTCTACTCGAGGTCTACATTCCCACTTTGCATTTGATTCCAAAAGGAACGCTTACTACTTCATAATTTTACCAGGGCATTGGGGGGGGGGGGGAGGGAGGGGAAAGACATTCACATAGATCCTTATTCTGGTTTGTGTCAAGTTGCTATGTTCTCAAATTCATGTTACTAATCATTAAGCAGTAATTCTGTGTGGTGGAACTTCAAAGATGAAACATCACTTGTTTTACTTTGGTGTTACCTTGTAATATTATTAGGTCTAAAAACAAATGTTTTTTAAAGGCTATTTTTGGAAAAAGAAATATTAATCCAAATATTGAATAACTTTGGTATTTTATCATTGAAGTGTCAGATAAGATGCACTGAGCACATTCGTGAAGGCCACTGATAATGAGTTTTTTTTTTTTTATTTATTTATTTTTTTTTTTTTTAAATTTAACATGTCTTCCTCTTTGGCAGCTAAAAATTGTATTGCCGTTTTAACATTTAAATCTGTTTCTGTGATTTTATTGTACTATCAACAATGTTTATAATAAATTATCTTGCAAATTTTTGCAATATTATATGAAGGTGTAAATGCTGCCCTGTAATCAGTTGTTGGTAGTGTATCAAAATCCTATAATGCACCTGGTTTTTTTTTTTTTTTTTTTTTTAACCTTGATAGCTTGGCTTTGGACCAGGCTTTCCATGCTGCAGAGAATGAAATAGTCAACAAATATACAGTACTATTTTACCCCTCTAGGTGGGGGGGGGGAAGGAAATTGAGGAAATTAAATTTTGAACTTGTAATGCAATAAAGCCATGCTACAATACATAGAAGAAAGGAAATGAACTGTAGTCATATTGTGTTCATATGAAAGGTCTCGGTAGTACAGATGGGTTCGTTCTCGATGCACAATTGAGAATTCCGGGTTTGAATCCCATGGTGGGTGGGGACAGAAATAGTTAGGCATATTTTATTTCACCTAATGCCACTGTCCACCTAGCTGTGAATAAATACTCAAGATTTAATCAGCTTGTTGTGGGGTTGCATCCTGGCAGGGGTCAGTAATTTGGCCTGGTCTGGGAGGGTGGCGGGGAACTCGATAAAAGCCAAAAATGTGTGAATTTATTCTGGCTTCCTGTCCCCTCGACATAGTGAATTATTTAAATTATATCTATTATCTTGGCCTTCTAGAAAGCATAGATAAATGTCATGCCAATGTAATCATTTATTAGTACTTCTGTGCACTAGACTAGTATATTCATGCATGGATTTTGATAGTAAAGGCACGAAATTTGGCAAAATTTCTGAACTTGAACGTGTCGAGAAAACACTTACGGCCTGAATTAACATATGTATGCAATTGAAAGCATCTAAAAATCCCTAAATTTATGCATTGGTATGCAGTTGACAAAGATGACAATCTTTACAACTGTATAATAGAGTCCTTATTAGTGTTCATTAAAGCAGTTTTTTTTTTTTTTTTTTTTTTTTAAATGTTTAATGAAAAGTCATCTAGATATTATTTCCCGATATTCAAGAGTATTTTTAGATGTGGGAAATTTTTCAGATAACTTTGCCTAAATTATCTTTGTGCTCTGAAATATTTTTTTATGGTGTATAATATGTAGAAATACTGTACAGGATTTATCTTGTATTAACAGAAAGAACAAAATATCATAAAAATATAAAGTTTAGATTTCAGGAAGAGGGTCAGATCCAAATTACTTTGGATAATCACAATTCTACTAGAGCTATAAAATAATGAAGTGTTGGTTCCAAATCTGAACATTAAAATGTTGGGATATAGTATGTTTAGATACTGTACCTAAGTAAATGGGTGTGAGCATTTTACTGCCTTGCTTTCTAACAAGGAAATTACCAACAGTTCTGTAGCTCATCTTGATGAGATAACTTCATAAGTTTATTAAAACACGCCTCGATCATTTGAACGCTGGTACCTGTCGGACTACTAGTTGCAGGCAACTAACAGTAAAGCCGATCAGGCAGTGCAGCTACACACTTCAGCAAGGAGGGAATGTCATCCCCAGAACCATTACTTCAGTACAATATGTAAAAATACTTGTACAGTACTAGGTCGCTTGCCAAGGCTTTTGCATTCTTTGTCAAAGTTTGTTTGATTTATATTGTTAGTATATTTATTTCCAGCTTATTCCTCTTTACTGTATTTATATTCTATTCTGACTTTTCAGATAGATCAACACACAAGGTCACAACAAATTGACAAGGAAATACAGAAGGACAGACAGAAATTTAGACGACAGGTGAGTTACAGAGTTTATTGCTCACCGAGATTAATCTACACGAGTGTCTTGTGCTTAGACAGTCCCAGACTTTATTGTATTCTGAACATGCAATTGTTTTTTTTCTTTAGTTGATTACATATGGACATACGAGTATATGAACTTAGGCCATTAATATGCTTGATGTAGTTTTGCAGTCAATTTTAAGATTTAGGCACTGTAAATGCATACTTTATTTCCATATATTTTTGTAGCTCGAATCAAACTGTTAATTACAACCTGGATAATCGGCGTGTCATAGAATATTTCATGCTCTGCCCTGTACCAGTAATATAAATATTTCAAAGGTTGTAAGGAGTTGAAAGTTGTATCTCCTGGCCACATTGCCTTAGATCCCTGATGCTATGACAAGTGGAAGTCAATAATAATAATAATAATTAATAATAATAATGCTTTCATGTTTAGAATCTGTAGAGGTAACATTAATAAACAGCTTACCTGAGTTTAGGTATAGATGCTATAGACTAATTATTAGTTTATTCTGTACTGTATATTAGGCCTATGCTTTAACAAGGCCCTTAACATTTCATGCATTTTATGTAATGGTCACTAATTCACAGTACTGGACTGAACTTCAAAATATATATAATATAATATAGTACAAATTATATAACGAGGAATTACAGTAATTCATTGATACATAGCTGTTCATTGGTAGTGGAGAAGTTTGGTTAACTCTGCTGTATAGCCAGGACAAACATCTAGCATGATGGAGACATGTTCTAGGTCACTTGCTTGTTAACATAATGATGTTTCTAGAGAAATTTAACACCTATTTGTGATGTGTAATTCTTCTTGTAAGGTTAAACTGCTATTGTTGGGGGCGGGGGAGTCTGGCAAGTCGACTTTCCTGAAGCAGATGCGCATCATCCATGGGTATCGGTTTGCTCATGATGAGATTGACGAGTATAGAGAAACTATATACAAAAATGTAGTCATGGGTATGAAGGTAAGTAGCACTGCCCACATATCCATATACTGTACTTATAACACAAACTATGCTCTTTACTTATCTGACAGTCATCCCTAATTGCACTGTAATCATAAATGTATTATATGATTGATTAACAGCAAGCACTGATAGAGCATGCTAAGGTATGCACACTTACATTGCCTCCATTAAATCCATGCATATGTTAACCATATTGTGGATGCAATGATAACCTATCAGTTCTTGAATTTTCTTGTGTAGATCAAATTTGACTTCTCTCCAGGTCCTATTGGATGCAAGAGAGAAACTTCGGATACCCTGGGGAGATGAATCTCGAGATGTATATGGTCACCATGTCATGAAATTTTCTGGTTCCATGTCACTAGATCGACATGTGTTTTTAGATTATGTACCAAGTGTGAAGGAGCTATGGAAGGACTCTGGCATTGGACAAGCTTATAACAGACGAGCAGAATATCAGTTGGTGAGTATGAAATACACTTGAAAAACACTTAATTTTGTTTAATAATGCTGTATGGTGATTTAAGCTATTTGCATTTGAAACTGCAAGGAAGGCATACATAGTACAACTGAATACTTTTGAGTATTAATGCTGTGAAATCGGGAAATCAAAATTAATATGCCTTGGTTCTGTACAGCACTCCTAAATTTGTGGTTTATTTGAAGTAAAGTGTTAACTTGTATGGGAATATGTTCAGTGGATTTTTTGCATTCTTGTATATAAGAATTTGAATATTTTTTTTATTAGATTGCTTAATATAATTGAAGAACAGCTTTTAGAGATGGAATACTGTATTTTAATATGTCCCTCACGTGGCAACAAATTTGGGAATGTTGACAGACATAATACTTAGAATATTAAATGCACATATAATTTCAGCCCTGTACATAAAATATAAAACCCTAATTAGATTGTGATTAGGTTAAGTACATGGGCTTGCATAAAGTTATTTGAGAATCGGTAAAGTTTGGGTTAAGGTTTTCTTCATGTCATTCACCATTTTTGAACGTTATTAATATGCACAATAGTCTTGTTGCAGTTATTGTATGTGAAATGTCTAGTACTCTACACATGTGCATGTGTCATCAGTTCAGAATACTTGTACATGGTTTAAGTAGAATAAGAGTATTCCTTGTTGTGTAAACAGTCTTCATTAAAATGAAGTCCATTAAATAATTGTTAAATAGCTTGCCTTGAGCATTTAAGCTTGGTAAGATCAGCTTAATAAGAGGTATGGGATGTACAACCCCCCTCCCCCTTCGTTATTACCTGACTATATTAGACTGTATTTTATCAGTGCCTTCTGTCCCTTTAGTCATGTCCACACCCATACCATAATATCAGGTGAAATGTTAGGGCATATAAAAGGTGTGAAAATGTAAGCGAGGGGCATCAGTATTTTGTAAACCGACTTGGCTGTGAGAAATCCTTGCTTTACTTTTTTGCTCTTTCATTGCTGGCTTAAATTCTGATTATGTGCTTATGACTTGCAGTTTAGCTGTAATTGCTATAACATAGGGGAACTCTTGCGCTAATGGATATCTTACTGGAAGAAATGTCTAGTAATATTCAGAAAACATTCAAATATAAAATGACTAACTTCATATATTTTTCTCTTTCCAGACTGACAGCGTTGCTTATTTCTTTGATTCTTTAGACAGAATAGGAGTTTTGGTAAGAGGTGCATTCTTTTGCATAAAGCTCTTCAGAATGTAGTGTATATTAGTATATGTGAGAGGCTTCCGTCGGTCACTCCTTTAGGCAGAAGTTGTACCCTCTCTGTGCACCATATTCTAAGTAGGTTCTATTGACCAGTGCCCCACAGTGATGTGTAACTTTTCAAATGAGTTTGTCACCTTGCTGGAAAAAGGAGACGGGAAAGTGAACGTTAAATCCTAAAATACAATTTTCAATGTCGCCAAAAGTAGAAACAAAAACTCAATTGAAATTGAATTGAAATAAGTTTATTGAGGTATAAATACACACAAAGGGATGAGGTGGCTCCAGCTATTCTTGCTCTGTTCAGTATGTGTTCATTTATATTTATATAGTCACACATCAGTCATATAAAGAAACATTCTGGTTGATAAACGTGTACATTTGTTTTTTTACACATGCAGTATGATACTAGATGTGCACACAAATACTTTGACTAGGTACAGAGACATAAGTTGCATAAGTGCATAAGCAGTCTCCGTGGTGTAGTGGTAAGACACTCGCCTGGCGTTCCGCAAGCGCTATGTCATGGGTTCGTATCCTGGCCGGGGAGGATTTACTGGGCGCAATTCCTTAACTGTAGCCTCTGTTTAACGCAACAGTAAAATGTGTACTTGGATGAAAAAACGATTCTTCGCGGCATCGGGGATCGTATTCCAGGGACCATAGGATTAAGGACTTGCCCGGAACGCTACGCGTACTAGTGGCTGTACAAGAATGTAACAACTCTTGTATATATCTCAAAAAAAAAAAAAAGTACATAGACATACTTGTCTGAATAGACACAATTCAACAAAAGGTTACAATCTTGATGCAAAATTCTTGTCCATCTCCAGAATATTGTCAATCTTTCCACTGTGACACATCCAGGCTATTTGTTCAAGAACAGTTCTTATCTCAGTACTTCTATTGTACAGTTTCTGTATATTGTACATTAATCAGTGGGCAGTCAAGAATACAATGGGTGAGGGAGAGACCTTAACATAACATAGAGTTTACACTTCATTTTATTATCATTTAACATCTGTTCCATATTCCCAGTAATATGTATACCCATGCCTGAGCAGTGTGTGTTTAGGAAATTAACGGCTCCTGCATGAGCCGTTAATTTCCTTGTCTTTTCTGTGTTTGTTTAGCTTTTTTTAGGTGAGGTTGTTGGCTCACCATCATAGGTGATCTTGGGCTGCTGAAGGGACGTTTTCTGCCCTTTAGGTCTTTGTTGGCTGTAATCCTTGTCTCTGGTAAGTGTTTCTTTCGGAGATGTCGTGTTGGGACCCATGGAGTCCCGACGTACTCTAGCTGTGGCTCCTCGGATATTAGTTAGCAGAGATTTTGCTAACATTCCTTGCGTGTTATTTGTTTCTGCTCTTAAGTGTCATAATGAGTGGAGTTTGGAGGTGGAGTAAACTTTATCTTCCCAGTCTTCCTTCTGAGCTAGGTGGCAAGATTTGAAAAATTTTATGACATCATGGGGCACAGGTTGACAGAGCCAGACAGGAAGTTGGTGTTATAGGTTGACTAGAGTCCTGGTTCAGGGAGTGACCCAAGGTGCCACTCGGAAAGAAACGTTTCATAAATTCTATAGATTGCACAGAATGCAGATGCATTCATATACAGTACTGTATTCATTATACGGCATACACACTGAACAGTAAGTATTGCTTATCGTAATTACAGCATACAGTAAAGATTACATATAATTTACAGAAGAAAAATCCTTTTGCAGAGGATGTAACTGATAGCAGTTCAGGCCTGTTTCTCTATATTATGCCAACTACATTTTTAAGGTTAAGAAGGCCAGAGACGATTATCATTAGAGTACCGAGGTTTTGGCCTGAATGACTCGAATTTGTTTTCCATACATGAAGCTTTGCCTTGGATTCTATTAAATTTTAAGCCATGATAGTCTAAATATGTAAGTAGTTTAGCTGACAATTTATGCTTCATTCTTCTTTGAATGGCAGTTATTAGTTTTCTTATGCTCAGATAATTCATATTTATTAACATGCCTTGGTTTTAATATAAATATTTGCCATATTTCTTTGATTCACTTCTCTTCCTCCATTTAAACAGACTTTTCATGCTTATGAGTCTTCCCTTGTTGCTGCTAAATGTTGCCAGAATTAACTGAGGTTTCTTTTAAGACTAACTGCTGAACAAGTTCTCCCTTCCTCCCTTCAGTTTCTTGCTTTTAACACCTCGGATACTCTGTCTTCTTCGTCTTCGTCTTCTCCTGTACATGCCTGCCTTCTCGTACCCTCTTCTTTCACCTCGCCATCCCTCTTGACTTATTTTTGACATGCTCGTTCCTTTCTCAACTTGATAGAGGTCCAGGAGAGACCAAAATGTTGTAATTTAATTAAAGTTGACTGCTATTGTCTTTATCAGTCTATCTTTAATGCTGTTACTGTAGCCCATTGGCCTCTCGCTGATTCCTTACGAGGTCTTTGACTTTGAAGTTGTTCATCTTTGTCTGCTGCATCCCCCAGCAAACTATTGCATTCATTTTTTTAGCCAACCTTAAGTTGCCCATGGTAGTCTTTTCTTTTTTTTTTTTTTTTTTTTTTTTTTCTAATATTCAACTGTGTTCTGTGTGTCAAGTACTTGCACCTGCCTTGCTGATCAAATATTGTTCTGTTACAGGAGTATGTACCCACAGAAAAAGACATTCTTCACTGCCGTAAAGCCACTAAAGCAATCACAGAGTTCACCATTCCTATTCAAAATGTCCCATTTCTCTTTGTGGATGTAGGTGGTCAAAGGACACAAAGACAGAAATGGTTTCAGTGCTTTGAGAGTGTCACATCAATTATTTTTCTTGCTTCATCATCAGAATTTGATCAAAGACTCTTGGAAGACAGGTACAGTAGCTTGTATTTTTTATTTTTTATTCACTATTAGTAGAGTATAGAGCACTTGTATATGCTTTCAGGCTTTAAATTCTTTTAGTTTAGCATAAATGTAAGTAATATAAATTTTCTAGAATAAATTTTCCATAAATATAAAACCTTAAATTATTTGGTATTCTTAATTGTTTCACAATTTTGTCTGTTGCTAATTAGAAAGTAAATAGGTTCTTCAAAAGGGCTTCTATCAGGGTATATACTGTGGACCCTAGAGTGAACAGAGCTGCCATGCATCTGTCTTGTACAGATAAAATAATGACACAATGAAACAAAGATAAACATATAGTATGAAGCGATGACTCGGACTTGTGCAAGAGAATAAAACGATAGAGTAAGAAAGTTATATTACCAGACCCACAAATCTTGCCAAACTGCCTTAGCAGCTTCTGAAAACCAGTGGATTTTTTTACCTTCCCCAGATGAGCATCCAATATAAATTGCAGTCTGGTGGCAACACCACCCCAAATGTCACCTCAAGTGACCTATATCCACTTGTGCCGATAGTTACATGGTGAGCCACACTTAAGGTAGGGAGTACAAGTCATACAACAGAAAAGCATATAGTGGAACAGTGTATAATACAGAATATGTACATAGTGTTGGTATATGAACCCCAGAGATGACGATAGACTGCTATGAATGTGCGCTTCTTGACGTGTGAAAACCACACGACTGCATATTCTAATTTTGGTCTCGCAAATGTCGTGAACAGTTTCTTTATTATTTCTCCAGGTGCTCTTATATATTAACACTTTAGAAATTTGTTAGTGTATTATAGGTTCCTCTTACAATACATTTGATGTGATCCTCTGACATTTTACTGCATACAAGGAGTCACAATAACATGGCTGAAGATATAATGACCAAGCTACACTTCAGAAAGTGAAGAAACGACGACATTTTGGTCCATTATCAAGTCGTGTGGCTTGACATTTTACTAACCAGAACCACACCTAGATCCTAATCCCTCTATAATTTAGAGGGTCTTATGTTTCTATTTGTATAGATTGGAATCATTTACCCCTTTTGATCCTTACGGTAACAATTGCACGGAATGAGATTTCTCGGAAATAAGGCTTTGAGCCCCTATGAAAGCATATTTCTGTGCAGAATTATTTAGTTTCTGCCAATCTCTCCTGTCATCCCCCCTCTTCGAAGTGTACATATAATGGACAGTATTTGCATCATTGAGGGTATTTATCAGTCTGGGTCTGAGAACTTTTGGACAAGCATGGTGCTTTCATCTGGTGGCAGCTAGTCTGAGTAGGCATTTGATAAAAAGTCAGAGAACTCTCTGTTGGCTGTTATTTGTTGTGCCATTGGAGAATTCGGGAGGCCTTGAGACTCCGGGTTAGATTCAGTTTTTCTTCAGTCCATCTGTAGTACTTTTAATGACTGCAAAGTCAGTTGAAACATTAGTGGCACTAGCGCCAGATTGCTATCTTGTTTGACTGTACATGCTCCAGGTCATAGGTTGGTGTATCGCTTGCCATTGGAAGTAACCAAATGATTCTGCTTGGAAAGGGAATTGCCGAGACCCCCCCTACACTAACTATTTTCACCATGATACAATCCACAATAACAGTCCAATTTCTAGGTACCAATTTACTGCTAGGTGAACAGAGACATCAGGTCAATTGAAATGTGCCCAACTGTGTCTGTCCAACTCATTGTAGTATGTATAGTGATTTTGGAACCTCTCATAATAAATTAAATTGTCCTTTCCAGGAAAATGAAATAATTCATCTGGTAGTGTAAATGCTGAATTAATGATACTGTATAAATATATATGTATGGTTATACAGTGTATTTTTTTCAGGATCACAAATAGGTTAGAAGAGTCGCTCAACATATTTGGGACCATTGTCAATAACAGAAACTTTCGTGATGTCTCCATAATTCTTTTTCTGAACAAGACTGACCTGCTCATCCAGAAAATTAGATCTAGACAAAGTAACATTTCCCATTATTTCACAGATTTTGTGGTAAGTAAGTTTTTGTCATTCAAGTACATGTACTGTATTACTCATCTCATATAGGGTCACATTTTCAGTTGAGTATCTTATAACCTAATAGTACCATGAATCAATAGGCACTAGTGTAGTTTTTAGTTGTAATAATAACCCTTCTTTAACCTAAAATATAACTGGTTAAAAGAAGATTTCTATATACAGTATTAGTGATATAAGTATTAATTGCACTTTTTATTAGCATATGTATATATGCAGTATATATAATGTGAAGAAACGACGACATTTTAGTCCTTCCGAAACATTGCCTCCGGAGATTGGCAGAAGGCCTGGAAGTATACTTATGTAACTGACGACTAATCTTTTACATGAGGAAGATATGGGACGTAGTTGAGATATTAGTCCTAATGGGAGAAGAATCGGGCTAACTTACCAGAGGAGCAGTGAGAATCACATTGCCCACAAATCTTGGCAGCTCCTGTAGAATGGAAAGAAGTATCTCATTTTGAGTAGAGGAAGATGCTACCAAAGATTCCAGGTAAGATGCATAGTGTCCAACACAAGGGCATCAAAACCGGGAAATGGGGCTACACGCAGTGTGGCTCCATTCCATAAGATCATTGGATCATTGGAAACCAGTGCCAAAATTGGCATTATGACTCCATAAGATCATGGGAAACCACGGAAGGTTTATTGGCCATGTGAGGCAGCTCCCATGTATACACAATTGATTCTTGTAAATGTCGTCTAATCTACCCTTGAAACTGGCCAGTGAAACTTAGGTTGCAACCAAATGGGATAGTTTATAAAATAATTGGAGAGAATTACACTGCATAGTGAATGGCAGGATGCAGAGAGTGGGGGAGAGCATGGAAAATGTTCATCGGGCAAAGCAAGTGTTCCTGATGTTAGTGTCAGAAATATTTTTGTCTTAAACCTTGTTTTCTTGAGGGAGTTATCTTTTAAAGGTCTCGCCAGGCATTTAGATTGCCTTAAAAGCTTGAAGTAGTACTGAAAACACATTTAAAGTCTCATTTGATTAATCAGCATGATGTTCAGTGAATGAAAATTAATTCTAAAGATATTTTCTGCTACTCATTGTTTGTAACGTTTGAATTCATATGACTGATATAGGGGACAATAACATTTGTGATCTACCCTAGTTTTCAAGGTACATGAAGTACAGGCACTTGACATGTGGATTATATAGTGCTTAAATCCTCAAACATTTACTGCACTGTGTAGTCTCTTTTATATGTTATAGCATAAAGATAAGAGTATAAATAGTGCTACTCACGAAACTTTCCACACAGGGTAATCCTCATGATGAGAGATTTGTTCAACAATTCATCTTGCACAAGTTTGTGGAACAGCGGAGAGCAGACAACAATCGTCGTCCAATCTTCCACCACTTTACAACTGCAGTTGACACAGAAAACATAAAGGTGGTATTTAATTCTGTTAAAGACACAATACTTCAGAGGAATTTAGAAACACTTATGTTACAGTGAAGTAATAGGTATTTTGTAGATGAACTACACCTTTTGAAAATACCCCTGTGGTAAATTTTTTAACAGAATGTACACACGCACACACGGTGAACAGTTGGGAATCTGTGCCATTGAAATTTGACAGTTTTGTGTAAATTCACATTTCAGGTCACATTTTTAATAGTCTATTTGTATAACTGAAAATGTGTGCTGCAGATTTAGCATTCACCAGTCAGTCTTATCCTGTTAGCAAGAGTTGATTATAAGAGAGATTACATGACTAGTATGGAGAAAGGTCTTGACTGAGGCACTACTTCTGTTTTGTGGCTGGAATACTGTGGTGCTGCTGCTGGGAACATTTAGTACTGTACCTCTATCTGTTTTAAGCTGTTAACAATCCAATGTTTTCCTGTATGTGTTTAGTCATTTATAGTATATATTTTTTTCCCCCAGTTTTTCAAAAAAGCAAACCCGAATTTGACTTTGAGGTAATTTTAATTTCATGTTTGAGTGTAGGAGCTTCATAATTCCATGCACAATAATATAGTGATTTTACAAGAATTTAGCACTTTAATAAGACAAATGAGCTATGGCTTTTAAAATCATGCACTTTTAGTTGATATGTAAAATACCAGTACATAAATTGTGTTGGACAACGTAATATTAATGTGTTGGCAAATGTCACAAATCTTACCATGCCTGTCAGATATATTATTAAAAGTGATTTTATATTGTAAGACAACATCATTTCTTCATGAGTATGCTGCTCAAAGCATTGGTAGAATGATGTACAGTACTTTTACTCATAAAATATCACCTAGGGGCACATTTTATGTAAGTTTTTTGTTTGTTACCGAAATAATATTGTATGACTCGTTTCTGGATGTATTATGGTTATTTTTAACGATGTTCCATTAACATTCCTAAGATTGTCTGTTTTTGATGTTAAGGACATGTCTTAAGGTGTCCAGTAAGGCTCTAATTGCTATCCATCAGTATCAGTTGACAAGATTAATTACTTGTGCTGCAATTATTGGATTTATGGCTCGACACAAACTGTTTACTTGTAAGGTTTTTAAATAATTTGTTTGGAAAAAACAAATCTAAATAGTTTGACTGTATGGTTTTGTTTATAATGAATAAGGTCCATCAGATAATGGTCTTGTTAGTGGAATGAGCCAAGTTTCTTTAAAACATCTTGACAAATGCTTAACTGATTGTTGTGAAGAAATACTCATCTAGACAGCTGCATTGTTATTTTAGTTTTTTGTATTCAATTATTATTCCTCCATTTTGTTTGCAAATTCTATACTAAAGAAATAATTTGTTAGCATTTTTTTGAATTTATGGAAAAAAACAAGATATGAATATTTGTTTTTAAAATACCAATCAAAATAAAATAACAACAGTATATATTATTTCATAAAATACAGTACTATTGTCGAGGACAGTAAGCCAGTTACATAACCTGTGTACCGAGACTGGATACCAAATGGGAGATATAGTCCTTCGCGAAACAGAGAAAGATCTAAGCATTTATATCAAACAAAACCTGTCTCTTGAAGCCCACATCAAAAGAATAACATCAGCAGCATATTCAAGGCTGGCTAACATCAGAACTGCCTTCAGAAACCTGTGTAAGAAATCCTTCAGAACCTTGTATACCGCCTATGTAACTCCAATCCTGGAATATGCGGTCCCCAGCATGGGGTCCGTACCTTGTCAAGCACAAGACGAAGCTGGAAAAAGTTCAGTGGTATGCCACTAAACTAGTCCCAGAACTAAAAGGCATGGGTTATGAGGAAAGGCTTGGTAAACTGCACCTCACATCGCTGGAAGACACAAGAGCTCGGGGAGACATGATCACCACATACAAAATTCTCAGGGGGAATTGACAGGGTAGACAAGGATGCATTATTTAACATGGGTGGTACACACACACAAGGGGACACAGGTGGAAGCAGAGTACCCAAATGAGCCACAGAGACGTTGGAAAAAACGTTCTTGGTGTCAGAATAGCTAATAAATGGAATGCACTCGGAAGTGATGTGGAGGCAGACTCCATACAGTTTCAAATGTTGATATGATAGAGCTCAAGAAGCTCGGGAATCTGTACACCAGTAGATTGACGGTTGAGAGGTGGGACCAAAGAGCCAAAGCTCAACCCCCGCAAGCACAACTAGGCGAGTACAAATTAAGGTACCCCTAGCAAAGGGCGAGGTTATCAACTGTCATCTGTCCAGTTGCCGGCCAAACCCAACAACTGTGCTTTACCTAATGGACCGGGTGATGCGCACTTGATCCACCATGCCGTGACCACTGCAGTCTCGGTGGATAATATAAAGTGTCACGCAGTTGCTGATTACTAATGCTGCCAAGATCAGGAAGCTATTATTAATCTTATGGCTGTGCTCGGACATTTACAGGAACAGTGCTGATAGTTCAATTTCAGTGTAAATGTTTGCATTTTCCAATTTGATCAGAAAGATGAGTCACAAAGAGATATGAAGATTGACTTGGAAGGTATTGTCCCAGCTTGATGCCTTATTTTGATAGGTACTTGCTTAGCTGGTGCAGACAAGGAGTCGCAATAACGTGGCTGAATAATGTTGACCAAACCACACACTAGAAAGTGAAGGGACGACGACGTTTCGGTCCGTCCTGGACCATTCTCAAGTTGGTTGTTGAGAATGACTTGAGAATGGTCCAGGATGGACCGAAACGTCGTCGTCCCTTCACTTTCTAGTGTGTGGTTTGGTAAACTTATTTAGCTGGTATTATTAGGGTAGTTCAAAAAACATACAATATTCATTTATCTTTATTATTTTCATCAGTTTTTTTTAAAGTTTAGTAACTAGCAACAATATTGCGAGATTTGTTTCCAATTTATGTTGTGCAGTATTGCTTTTTCTTTACTATTTCCACTTATACATAATATTTCACTCTAAATATCAGACCAAATATGTACAGTATACCCGTTTCAGAGAAATATGTTTATCTGCTCGAAATGCTATGCGTGTTAGTGGCTTTGCAAGAATGTACAATACCAGTCTTATGTAATCTCGCAAACCCATTGTACCCTCTTGTAAATAAAATTATTATTATTATTATCAGCTTGTCCATTACAAATTTGGATTTGTCCAAGAAAAATTAAAGTTGTGCAGCGAGCTGCGTTGAAAGCCGCATAGTCGTGTAAACTCATTTCCAGTATTTTTCTTATATTTTGCTTGATAATAAATTTCATTGATCATTATGTTTGCAGCTACTGCAAAAGGGAGAGCAGTAGTGTTTACAGCAGTGACAGAATATCATTGAAGCTTTCTAAGAACAAAATTTGGGTGATGGAATTTACCAATACTTTATGCAGGCTGGCTGTGGGTTATGTAACGGTTACCATCTGTAGCTCTAAGACAGTTAAGAATCATGGACAGTTAAAGGTAGCTTCAAGAATGTAACTAGTGGTATAACATAGTTCTCTAACCCTATTTTGCGGCTTCTGGGTTACTGTTGTGCAAACTGTTGCATAATGGTAAGTCAAATGTTTGTTCTTTGATGCATTTTTTTTTATTATTATATACACACACACACACACTAAATGGGTAGAACACCTGGAGAGAAATGATATAATATCAGACAGACAGTATGGTTTTCGATCTGGAAGATCCTGTGTATCGAATTTACTCAGTTTCTATGATCGAGCCACAGAGATATTACAGGAAAGAGATGGTTGGGTTGACTGCATCTATCTGGACCTAAAAAAGGCTTTCGACAGAGTTCCACATAAGAGGTTGTTCTGGAAACTGGAAAATATTGGAGGGGTGACAGGTAAGCTTCTAACATGGATGATAAATTTTCTGACTGATAGAAAAATGAGGGCAGTAATCAGAGGCAATGTATCGGAATGGAGAAATGTCACAAGTGGAGTACCACAGGGTTCAGTTCTTGCACCAGTGATGTTTATTGTCTACATAAACGATCTACCAGTTGGTATACAGAATTATATGAACATGTTTGCTGATGATGCTAAGATAATAGGAAGGATAAGAAATTTAGATGACTGTCATGCCCTTCAAGAAGACCTGGACAAAATAAGTATATGGAGCACCACTTGGCAAATGGAATTTAATGTAAATAAATGTCATGTTATGGAATGTGGAATAGGAGAACATAGACCCCATACAACCTATATATTATGTGAGAAATCTTTAAAGAATTCTGATAAAGAAAGAGATCTAGGAGTGGTTCTAGATAGAAAACTATCACCTGAGGACCACATAAAGAATATTGTGCAAGGAGCCTATGCTATGCTTTCTAACTTCAGAATTGCATTTAAATACATGGATGGCGATATACTAAAGAAATTGTTCATGACTTTTGTTAGGCCAAAGCTAGAATATGCAGCTGTTGTGTGGTGCCCATATCTTAAGAAGCACATCAACAAACTGGAAAGGGTGCAAAGACATGCTACTAAGTGGCTCCCAGAACTGAAGGGCAAGAGCTACGAGGAGAGGTTAGAAGCATTAAATATGCCAAAACTAGAAGACAGAAGAAAAAGAGGTGATATGATTACTACGTACAAAATAGTAACAGGAATTGATAAAATCGACAGGGAAGACTTCCTGAGACCTGGAACTTCAAGAACAAGAGGTCATAGATTTAAACTAGCTAAACACAGATGCCGAAGAAATATAAGAAAATTCACCTTCGCAAATAGAGTGGTAGACGGTTGGAACAAGTTAAGTGAGAAGGTGGTGGAGGCCAAGACCGTCAGTAGTTTCAAAGCGTTATATGACAATGAGTGCTGGGGAGACGGGACACCACGAGCGTAGCTCTCATCCTGTAACTACACTTAGGTAATTACACACACACACACAATCATCATGTATACTTTACTATATTGTCTAAATATGCAGAAACATGTATTGTTTGCTGTTAATACACATCCAGAATTTTTTTGGTGATAATTTATTATTAAAAGAGCACTTACTTTTAATCTGGATTGATTTTGAATCCAGATTAGGACTAGACCAGTATGTTCCAAGTTTTGGAGGTTCCATTATAATTCTATGCTGTAGCTTCAAGTAACGATCCATTTATTTTATTTTTTTTATTTTTTTTTTTTTTAAACCTATTAGTCATTCAATCCCGGTGCTGTTATTGCATTAACCTAGAAAGAGGAAGGAAAATTCTGGTGTGGTTATGAATGAGATGCTTCTTTGGTAAGCCAATGAGGGGCAAGAAAGGAGTAACAGTTTTCTTGTTCGAGGTGTGTTTCAGATGTTCCTTGAAAGGGAGAGGTAATCGGATTCCTACACGTCTCGTAAACACGTGCATACACACCCACCCGTGTACTTTGATGCACGCCATTATGACACTCACTCATTCCCTTATCTCTATCATTCTCATAACATTTTCAAAAGATCAAAGTTTCTCATTCTTAATATCTGTACATGTGGCAGCTTGATCATATTCCCTTACGAAGTCTAGCGTTGCAGACAACTCTGGTTTACAAGACTTGCAGAGTGCCCTCATGTTTATGGCTAAATATTAGCTTGCCAACCATTCTTGTCTGGTTGTCATAGTTAAATAATAAGACAAATAGAGCATTTTAATTGCATTTAACTTTTATTTTTTTGTTAATTGATGAAATTCCAGTTCTTGGTATATACTGTTAAAAATGGTTATTTTTTAATTTAAAAAATTACTAATGCAATAAGTTTTTAACTTTTAAACGAATATGTTGTTTTATGGATGTCGTTACCTTAAGTAGAATGGTTTTGATCACTTTAAACAGCCAGAAGAGCCCATTTAACCACAAATGTTTTGAAGGCTTGTGATATTTGTGCCTTATCCAGATATAACCTTGTTTGTTAGGGACAATAAGTCATTTTTATCATATATTCAATTACCTGTTGGCATGAATTCCCCGTCCCTCCTCTCTTCTTGCTAATTGCTACCTATTTGGAAGTTGTTGAAAGGGGTTCTTTGTATTTAACTGTGTTAAATATTTTCAGCATACGTTACGCACAAGTCATACTTCAAATGCCATTTCTCTGAATAATGGTTTTACCTTTTGCTGTACTGTATTG